TACCCACCGTTAATCAACCTCTCTCTTTTGTTTATCCGTAATGATAGGAAATAGAAACAAATTAACTTAATATTTTAAAAGTCATCGTCAACCATAGAAACGGGTGACAAAATAATTAAATTGTGATTTAAAAAGATTATTTCAATAATATGCCGATAGTTAGAAGAATGTTTAATAGTGTTTTGAAATCTATCATCACAACTTGATTGAAAACAGACGAATAGAAGATAAATTTACGTATTTATATGTTTTCTTCGCCTGTGTATGCAGGTTGATTTCAACTATTCATGCATTATCATTATTCAAATGATTTCATTTTATTACATCTAGATGAATTTCACAAAGTGAAAAATGTATCACCATTGCACGAGAATGTATATAACGTTCAAATTCCTTTTGTATTTTCTTTCATCAGTAAGAGTATAGCTAACGGTGAATATACATGAAAGTTGATATTCGATGTTCGTGACTAGCTCAGTGATGGAATGTAATTAGCACCATTATAAATACTTTTTTGCATGCTAAGTAAAAATGTCAAGACTTTAATGAGAAATTCAAAGAGTATCTTATTTCAACTGATATAATAACACGTTATGTTTAGACTTAAACAACTGTTGTTGACTAATGTAGATAGACCTACATGTAATGTACTGAAAGGGAGATTACTCCGGACATCTTACCAAATACGTTACAATTAAGACATAACAGCACGAACCTTATCACTATATTAACTTCCAAAGCCTGCATCTTCACAATGTACATCTTCTAATCTGGCATCTTCTTAATCGTCATTTTCTAAATCGGACCATTATCTTCTAAAATAGGCATCTTAATAAAATCTTCACAACCAGAACCTTCAAAGGTGGCATATTCACAACGTGCAGAGCGACGTAACACGTTATTTGTGCCGTGTGGATGCTGTTAAAAGTCGTCCAGTACATACAGTCAAAGATGTTATATTTCAGATCCTTGCACGACATTATTGTTGTGTGTACATGGTTTGTGGTATTTTAGTTCCTTCTTTTTGACCTTTTTCAACTTGGATGGTTCCAGTATTCCTCCTTGATTACTGTATAATCATCCTTTAGATATAGTACCGACCTTTTAAATTTGTCTTTTGCTGTTTTGTCTGTGATACGCAGGTTTTATAACCTCAGATCCCTTTTCAAAACTCCATTTTATTTAGTTCCGCTCATTATTTTCTCATTTCGAGCACACGCATTCTTTATTAGGGGATCATACTTCGCTTTTCACGGAATATCACTTTCGTGTTACATTGAACACATTTGCGGATGTTTCCAAATTCAAAATGTCACTACTTCCATGTTTCAAAGTTGGATTCTGCTTAAGCCGGTGCTAGAGGGGTGTAGACGGTAACTTGCACTTCCAGTGCCGTTCATGAACAGGCTCAATCAAACCAAGCCTGCAACATTTTCAATTTTGTCGTTTTGGGCGTTTTTAGGGATTCCGATTTTTATTATTCTAAAACGTTAACAAATCCAAACGTTGCAGCTTGATAGATATAAATATAAAACCACAACTTGTTGAAAAATGTTGAAATTTTAGAAAATGAAGGAACTATATTTGGCTGTTATTCACCATACTTGAATAAACTACCACTACCAGTAACAACATGTCATGTTAAATCTACATGTACATTGTGATAAATGCATTTCTATTTTGGAAAGTTAGAACAGATACTTCATATAAATTAATTGTTTTTACTTGATTTCCCTACACCAGTATACAACTACTTAAATAGAAACGAGTTTATGAAACTTACAATTGCCTACGACGTTTATAAAGAAACCAACAAAGCGGGGTTCCGTTAAGGTCTGTTGCTTTCAAATAATTCTTGCATCTGTAAAGTGATAAGTGGAAACATGTGCAAGCGTTTGAAAAACTAATTATTTTCCTCAACCTTGGCCTACATTTTATAACAAAATAGTTTATTTTCACACTTCATGTAACAGGTTGCATGTTGCAAAATAAACAACTGAATTCGTAAACGAAACTGCAGCTATGCCGACTTTTTGACTTAAATCATTGTTCGACATACGAATGAAACTACCTAGGTTTTATATTTTGAATTACATATATATACACATTTAACTTATCAGTAATACTTTCATTTAAATCAAACGTCTTAATGGCAGTAAACCATTTTGAATGGTCAGATGCAAAAAAAAAAAATAATAAATAAATAAAATAAAAGGCCGGAAAATATGAATTTTACCAACAATATTATACTTTTTCTCTATTTAAGCTGATTGATTCTTTGAACTTTTATTTATATTATACATATTTTAAAATCAAAAGATCATGCGAGAATTGCATATCTTACATACTCAAAAAGGGTCAATAAATATTCGTTGGGATTTAAAGAATATAAACTGCTATACATTATATTTATATGTTATAAATCAAAGACTTTATACCGTTAAAGAATGTCAAGTATAATTTTTATCACCTGAAAGCAAACAATTCTTAAATATACTGGTATTTATATGCTCAACTTTACACAATGTTGTCTCTGCATAGAAAGTAGTTCGGAAACCCCTAAAATAGATTGGTCGGAAATATGTCCGGTTTAGAGGGGTTTCACTGTATATGCTGAGTTTGACATATTCTTGTTTTTTTTAACAGTTTTCGCTCCAATTGTTAATTTTGAAGTTAATCGACAGTAATTGAATTCTGAGTCACGCACGTGAAGTTACCACAATTGAATGTAAAATGATATGCATCAACTACACAACCGATTGCAAGTACTTTGTGTTTGCATGTATAAAACAGCAATGTTATATAGTGAAATCACGTCATATCATCGTGACCTCGTATCATGTTTCTGCTGGACTTTAAAAATCAATTGCTATTGTTGTTATCAATATAACGGCTTATCTGGCTTACATACCTTTCGATACAGTTTTATACCATTTAAAACATAACATTCATATCTATATTAACTCCGTGTGATAAAAAGATTACTTCGACAGAGGAAGATATTCCTTCAAGCATTATTAATAATTTATCGTTATCGTTGTCAACTGTAATGTAAAACTTTATATTTTATAGTTTCGATTTAGTTAGTAATAGAAAGAGCATCGACACACGAGGCTATCTGATTTGTACAAATACAAATATAAATTGAGTATAAATTGCCGATGTTTTGATGTTCTTTCTCTTTTGTATCATAGTCAAACATAAAAACACGTTCCCTGATACCACAATATGAAACCCCACAAAAAAGTAACCAATGAACGAGCATCTTAATATGATATTTCCATCGCTATCCCTTTCTCTGTCGACCTCAGACAAAATGAACCAATCAATGAGCATGCTCTGGAGTGCGGGTAACTAATACCTGCACTCCAGTTAACGCATTGTGCTTGTTTATGTATACGTTTTAACTCTGTCACATTTTCAACAGAAAGGTCCCCAAACTATGATACAATTGTAAGATAAAGTAGATCACTGGGTCAATATTTCTCTCATAAGTGTATTTATGATACGTGGACTACGTGTGTAAATCATGTAATTTATGATGACTTATCAAATACTTGTATTAACAGAAATGATTATTATGATAAAATGCATGCCTCCGTCATACTTTTAGCAAATGTAACAGTAAGGTTGTTGGATGTCAAATTGATTATTTATGTGAAGCACAAACACATTTGATACATTTAAAAAAGCGATGATTCTTGACGCACGAGGTTGACACGTAACATTTTAGTTTTGAATCCTACAATTTTAATCATAATTTTACAGCTTAGTTATTTCATACAACATAAATAAATTACATTATCTTCACTTTATTCCTAGGAATGCTTTGATTTTTGTAATCACTCACTGTATGCATTTTCAGAAATAAAAACTTGACAAATAATTTACGGGAGAGGAAAAGAGGCCATCATTGGAATTGCTACTTCTTCCGTTGAAATCTTTACAGAACACATGTCTCATTCATATACACGAAACACTTTCATTTCTTATTTTAGCCGCGTCACGACAAAACCAACATAATGGGTTTGCGACCAGCATGGATCCAGACCAGCCTGCGCATCCGCGAAGTCTGATCAGGATCCATGCTGTTCGCTAACCAACCCTATTACAAGTAGAGAAACTGATAGCGAACAGCATGGATCCTGATCAGACTGCGCGGATGCGCAGGCTGGTCTGGATCCATGCTGGTCGCAAACCCATTATGTTGGTTTTGTCATGACACGGCTCATTTGTATATTAATGTGTTTCTATTTCTATTATTCTACATGCATCACTGGTGAAAATATTTTCATTAAAATTACAGCCCTTGTCACAATTTTGTCACATCATTTGCAACAACTTCTTCTTAATAGTTTTTACACGTTTATGTTTTAATATCAGTATGTATCATGCAATCGTCTTTTGACGACAAAAACTCTACAGAGCTACATGTTTCACTAATTTTCAATGTGCAGGTGTCGTAGCCACGAGGTTTAAACTAGGCATGGTTGACTCTGCAGGCACGTTATTAACCAACATTGAAGATTTTAGAATTGTCATCCTTTTGTCGCAAGTCAGAAAGAATGTATATGAAATGGTATACGAGATGCAACACTAGCGCTTTACATTGAATAAAAGACTATCACTTTGATGTGCCACTAGGCTGTATTAACGTTTGAACTTTGTTTAATTTAGTTCTTAAAATGACCGGGGTGCTAAAAGGTTGTACATTATTTACCTATTATTCCTTTTCTACCAAAAGTGTGAACAGATTATAATGTAACTCTTTTTGTTACAAATATTTGAAATAATTCGTAAATCAAAATATTGGATCTATTAGATTAGTTACAAAATGTAAAAGTATGTAAACACAACGACCTACATCGAAGGAAAAGAAAATTGTACACTTGCACCTAGGGAAACCATTACCTTTGCTATTGTAAGTATTCTATATATATTTGGAACTATCATATCCGCCAAGTAAGGACCAAGTGATGGATAAGAAAATATAACAACACGGGCACCATTATATTTATATGTATAGTATTGAGCGAGCCCTTACCAACAAATATTGTCATAAAAACTCATATCATCGAGGTATGTGTATAAGACATTTTATGATTACTACAACAACAATCGTTGAATATGTAATATTCAACAGAAGCAAAAGCGAAGCTTCGTCATTTCAAATATTATTTGAAATATGATTACAAATAAGCAGACATAAAGTAAGCAATAAGATTTACATCAAATGACAAACAACCCAAGAATGTAGATGTTTCTCTCGTTGTCCTAGAAGCATAAGGAAATATTATTCTATGAGAAATGTACAAATGATAATGGTAAAAGAATCTTTTAATGTCTAGCCGTACTTAAAATGTCTCACAATGTGTAATAATTTGTTTAAGCGCTTAGCAAAGTTTTAGAGTGCTTTTCCTGAGAGCTTAATTTATGAAACTTTGAATGATATTAACGAACTTTTGAATGTAGATACCACTGGAAAACACATTCCTTTTACGCAATAAATCTATGTGAATGATAACAACGTTGTTGTTACTTTAAAAGGCCAATAGTTAAATTCGATAGTGCTTTCTCTTTGATCTTCCATCATCTAGATTCAACACACTTACTTCATTATACATTACAAGCCCATCAAATCTATTAGCTTTTTCTAAAAAATAATTCATTGTTATACTGAATTAAATATTGCCGGAAATTAAAATTACAGAAATGAAATTCTAAGAAAATTTATCAGCAATTGTAATATCATACAAAATGTAATATAAAACACTTTGAGTACAAAAACACTGTAACTGAAACGTTTACAAGGGTTGGAAAATGCTGTTGCGATGAATAAAGTTGTCATAGTTTGAACTGATTGAGCCTAATGACATCACTTTTGGAAAAGGTTTAGGTTTGTGTTCCGGCTCCATTTCTGCAAAATGATCTTTAACTTTAGGTTTACATGATTTTAGAGCTGCATCGACAGCATCAGGGAGGTCAATAAACACATTTTCTCGTGGAAATTCGTCATACATGTCTGATTTCTCCATTAGATGAAGCATGTACCTCGAACACCTAGCAAGATACACTGAAATATCTAAACATCCTAACTCAAATATGACCAATTTTAGCATGTCTAACCCCGTACCGTCGATGAAGTTTATCGGAATGCAATCAATTATCAAGACTTTAATTTTGAAAGAATCTTCTTCCTCTTCGTCCGAACTCACTACTTTTTCTTGTTCATCATCTTCTTCTTCTTTTATTGTATCTTTACAAATACCACCCTGACCAATCATTGCCTCTTCGACATCGTCATAACTTTTTGACGATTTTCCATCATGCAATGACGATTTATCTTTGTTTTCTTCGCTAAATTTGTCGGAATCCTTTTCGATTATTTTATATATGTTTTTTCTAAACATTTCTGCTGTTGCAAAATATAAAGACGACTCCATTCGGACAATTTTAACCATCGGTATCTCGTGTATGGCTCCGTAATCTTCTGCATCTAAATAAAGATCCTCTGAATCAGATTTGCCAATAACAGAAACCCATCCTCTCTGGCTTTGATTTATAACAGAAAGTAGAGATACTAGCACGCCTAATGCAAGACCATAGGGGATATCTGCAAACACACAAACAATCGCTGCAAACAACCATGTTGTGAAATCATTTTTGTTGACTTTCCACAGTTTCGGAAGGACTGTGACCTGTTTTAAAAGGTCTTTCATGGCAACCATGATCATTGACGCTAAAACTGCTTTCGGACATGTTTCAAAGAATTGACCAAAGTAGAAGATTAACGCAAGCATTATAGCGAATGTAGATACTGCGTTCATTGTTGTCTTTGCTCCCATGCTGGAAAGAAGTGACGTTCTAGGTGGCGCCACACTTGCTGGAATGTTGGAAAAGAACGCTGGAATGATGTTACACATTCCATAGGCATTCAGTTCTATGTTCTCACTGATTTCATAACCGTTTCTTCTTGCAATGAGCTTGACGACTGAGATGTTGAGGAAGAATGTCACTAGCGCTATTTGAATGGCGTAGACGATCAATGTACCCGCTGGCGTAAATGCTGGCAGTTCCGGTGCTGGGATTCCCAACTCAACTTTTCCAAGAGCGTGAACACCTAGACTTGGCAGTTTGGCAAAGTAGGAAATAATGGTTGCAAGTACAAGCAGGATAAAATCTATAGGTATTGGAACTTTAAGTTTCAACCGTTCATTTATTCCAATTTTTACCAATAAAAGAGTAATAACACAAACAATTGTCACGACTAGATCACCGATGTTTACTGAAGCTATGTACTTAAACGTGTTGAAATACAACTTGACAAGCTTACCAACGCCTTCTATAGGAGGGAGCTTCAAACCAAGTGCTGTTTTAATTTGACTACTGAAGATATGAACTGCAACACCGGTTGTAAAGCCACTCATGAATGACTGTGATAGATACGTTACGAGAAATCCCATTCTAAATATAGCCATAACGACAAATAAGACCCCTGTGTAAAATGTAGCACCAGCGACAAGAGCTATTCTTAGTTGCATAACCGATTCATCCACTTCTGGTTCTGTCCTTGAATCAATTGTATACGTACTTGTTACATTGTCCATAATAATTGATTCTGTTGTATTCAGATGAACTTCTACATTTTGGTGACCTGAGTGAGACGCTTTTTGCATAAACGCTTGGACATTTGGTTCTAGAAGCATATCCCCTATAATTATAGATACTATGGCGTTTGTGCCAATAGAAGTGTGGGCTGCGGAACCAAAGAACATGTAAATGAGCACGGGAAAGATTGTCGAGACCATGCCTATACCTGGTGGTAAACCGGCTAATAATGCATAAGCAAGGCCTTGTGGGAAATGCAGCCCTGTCACTGCTAGACCGGCAACAAGATCCGCAATAAGATTTTCTTTAAAGTTGTACGTTAACACTGTATCAATGACTGGTACCCTGTTACGAAGAGCTTGTAGACCTAAACGAAAATAATTCCTCTTAACTGGTTTCTCCTGAGCTTTGCGGAATGATTTGGGAACCAGTAGGTATTTCCTTTCGGCTTCAGGAGCAGTGGCATAGAATCGTTTCAGTAGATGAGGCTTTGGTCCTGAAGTTCTCCTCTTTCGGATACCGGCAGGAGAAGATTGGGTTGGCTCACTATGACTGAAAGTATAGAAATGACAACGATAGAAAATTTGTACAACTATTTTGATTTATTTGATACTAGTATAGTAAGGTGAGATGCTTATCAATAAATATTTTACTCCTGTATTCTGTTTGGATAAAAGCGAGGTTAACTACTGTAAGATTATTTACAACAAGAAAATAACAAATTTGATAAATATAAATAGAGTTTGAAACATGTCGTAGATAACAATGTTGAGATTTGACACTCATAAAAAAAATTTCTGGCAGTTTTCAGATATGCATTTCAATTTTGTTTAGCGTTAAAATGGTGACTATTTTCATAGTTTTCTGTAAATAAAATGTATCTTGTAGTTCTGTGATTCCATTGGAAAACATTGTGACACATTTCAATGTTTTCAGATTAAAATGCAAGAAAAAATGAATTAACACCTGTAAGCTCTTAGACATGGCAATAATCGTTTTTCTCTCTTTACAAATAAATGAAAATGTTCAGCGTTTAAAATACGCTTAAATTGTCGAAAGGCAGTAACGTTTTGTCACTCGTTTGTAAATGGCTCGTTAGACAAACGAAGATAAAACAATAATTATTTCAGTACCTTGACATATTAAGTCGGATAATTGGTAATAAAATCAAATATGTAAGGATGATGAAAAGGCGAGTCTTCCTTTTCTTTATGTCAATTTTTCCTTACAAGGTTCAGTTAAAACATCCACTAATAATGCATTACATTTTTATTTGATGTTCTGAGAGGTAATAATAATGTTTTGGCAGGTAAAATGAATAACTGTTTTCGAACTAAAAGGTCAAGGACCACCTAGGCATGAATTTGTTTTAACAAAATTTTCTAGTTTTAAATCAGAAACAAGTATATATGGATCTGTTGTCTTACAATAATCCTATGTCTTAAATGGATAGACCCATACAGTGTATACATGCATTTTCTTTCTAAAGTCAGTGCTGATATGATAAAATTGTATTGAGTATTATTTTATTGTATCAAGTAAATTACGTTTGAGATCATTTTTTATAAAATTTTCCTATCTATGGCATGTATTCAAATGCCAGTGTACGATGATGTTTTTTTTTTCTTTCTTTCAAGACACTGTTACAAGCTAATTGAAGTTTGGTGATTTTTAAATATGTGTCCGTTTTTATCTAGTATAGCATGCAAAAGATTAATCCGGTCTGTCTACGTAATTATAGTTGAAAGGAATAACACCCAAATTTCTGACCTAAATATTAACTAGAAACCCAGCGTGTTTATTAAAGACTATTGTTATGACAGAAATAGCTTGTAAGCATCTTTGTGTTAATAAGTACGTAGGTCTAGTTACGGAAAGTCATTTTATTTTTGCTGGTACAATCAAAAATTATATACTCTGTTTTCAATATTCAACATATAACAGGCATCTTTAACGTAATTTATGTGATTGACCTATTCCCTAGTTAGGAGGTTTACACAAATAAATAGAACCCTCCAGGTGAGGGCGTCAACCTTTAAATGGCGAATACGGTTTTGAAATATATCAATCATTTGCTATCTACATTCTCTAAAGTATGCACATGCACATGAAAGTCATTTGATGTGTGGCATGCAGATAGACTGGTGACATTCTGATAAACTAGTGCAAAATATGTTGGCAACTCTTCATGTTGTTTATCACATATTTGTGCACTGTCTCGGCTGAAGATTTGAAATTGTCTTTACCTGTCTAACGCAGACAGTTTTAACTAATTCATTTTGAGAATCATCAATCAAAATTGAACAAAAAATGTTCATGTTAATTTGGGCGGTTTTTTAGTTATAAATTATTCAAACCAATAATAAATAAGTTATGAAAACATTAAAATACATAGAAACTTAATTAATTTGGTATTATAAATTGTATCGCAAATTTATTACAAGAGCGATCAGTAATCACATGTGTCGCCTCATGATGGCCAATTTCATGTTGGAACAAATTTTGTGACAGACAGACAGACAGACAGACAGACGGACAGTACACAACTAGACTTGGTACTGATAATTCCTGTAAAGTTTGGATAAAATTGCACCAGTATTTATGAGGAGTAGTCCGGACAAGCTTTTGCGTATCTGGAAACACACAGAAAAAACACCTTTTTATCAAAGGGCCATAACTCGGCCAAAAATCATTCAACCACAAAACCCATGCAATATGCGCAAGGACTTGAGCTACAGATCAATCCTGTAAAGTTTCATTGAAATTGCATTAGTGGTAAAAGAGAAGTAGTCCGGACAAACTTTAAAAATAAAAATTATTAAAGGGCCATAACTCTGACAAAAATCATTGAACCGGAAAAAGCTGACAATATGCACAACTAGACTTGGTACTGATCATTCCTGTAAAGTTTGGATGAAATTGCACCAGTAGTTTATGAGGAGTGGTCCGGACAAGCTTTTGTGTATCTGGCAACACACAGAAAAAAACACCTTTTTATCAAAGGGCCATAAATCGGCCAAAAATCATTCAACCGGAAAACTCGTGCAATATGCGCAAGGACTTAGGCTACAGATCAATCCTGTAAAGTTTCATTGGAATTGCGTGAGTGGTATAAGAGAAGTAGTCCGGACAAACTTTAAAATTAAAAATAATTAAAGGGCCATAACTCTGACAAAAATCATTGAACCGGAAAAAGCTGACAATATGCACAACTAGACTTGGTACTGATCATTCCTGTAAAGTTTGGATGAAATTGCACTAGTAGTTTATGAGGAGTAGTCCGGACAAGTTTTGTGACGGACGGACAGACAGACAGACGGACAGACAGACGACGGAGAAGTGATCTCTATATGTCGCCACTACTCCGTAGAGGCGACACAAAAATGGAAGATATGTCTTGTCTTAGAGAGAAAGCACAGTTTGTAATTCACAAAGCTGGGAAAAGTATCGTAATTGACTGCCAAATGTAAAATAAGGCAATGTCACAAAACTAAAAGAGTGAAGTCAAAACTTAAAACTGGCATATGTCACAATAAACTGAAAAAAATGTCACAAACAAGGAAAAGTAAAGTAAAAAAACTAAAGGCGGAAGTTTTTTTATCTACTCTTAATTGATATAACAACGATTTAACAACATAGATAAGTCTTTAAATTGATTGAACAATGACAAAAACAAGAAAATTAAAAATGCAAATGTTGTTATTTCGTTTAAAGAACTATGATTTATTACGTCAAAAACTAGCTTTAAGTTACTTTTACATTATTTCTCTTATTTTAAGATCATACACTTGTTTAAACAACATTCTTTTTTGTTTACGTCATCTTCATGTCTAAGTAACTTGTCTTGTTTATCAAGTATAAAACAATGCAAATACTTTATTAAATCTTTTGTATAACTGAAGGAAATTTAGTGTTCGTTTTGAAACATACTGGTATTAAGATATAATGATGATATAGGAAGTTAATACATTGTAGAATATGTATATGTATTTAACACTGGGGAAATACTGAAGGAAATTATCAAAGGATTGTGACATGGAAATCTGATTTTAGTCTAATTTGAATGTTATATAATTATTTTAATAGCTTACATTCATTTTTTTTAAATTACACAATGCCAAAACTTAATTCTATAAAACGGCACTTTTATTCTCTTTCTAATGAAAATGCCAATTATCATAAGTTTGTCGTGTTCAGTGTACAATAATTGGCCTGCGTTCATAGCGTTCCTTTTTGTTGCACTGTTTAGTATAAAACACATGTTCCTACGGAATCACATAGGGGACATGCGAGGATTTCATTTTTATAATCTCGTGACCACGAGTAAGCATGTCTTGCTTATATTCATATCTGTAGACGATAAGTTTTTTTTGTGTTTACTTTGTTTGTTTTTTTTTGTTGTTGTTGTTTTCCCGGGGGGAAGAAATACGGTTTCTTTTGTCTCGTATTCATGAGACATTAATGATTATTTTCCCGCATGTCACCACAATGCTCACGCATATTCCTGTTAAACAGAATTTAAATCATTGATTTTGAGCATGTATCATTGCACTGACCTATTTTTAACAAAAATTTAACTAGAGTAAAAAAGAAAGGTATAGCGTGACCTCGAGTGAAGTGCGTGTAAGAATGAAAGATCTGATAATGAAAGATCTGATAAGACTATTCTTCGTAGTCGTAAACTATTTTGTTTTGCAAGTTAAAGGAGGTCACCCTTAAAACTATTGAACATTGAGCATCAGTACATCTGTGTGTGTGTTTATGGGCATTATTAAGGAAAGAAAAAAAGGTTTTCGTAATTTATTTTGGTACATTTTGTTAAAACAAGTAACAAGTTTGAAAATAGCTTGAACGTTTTATATACCATTTATTTACTTTATTTACAGTGAAAGATGGTCGCAATAAAACAAAACTCGTATATTTTATATATACATGTAAGTACAGTAAGTGGAGGGTGGAGGACAAATAGATAGAATAGAAAAATAATGGTTTGAAATATCAAATATGTCGTACTTTTAGTGTTGTTATAGTTTTCTGGCCTTCGGGATCATTGATGCCACTATTAAGTGTTGAGAATTGAGTACCGCTCAAGCCGGTGCTAGGGGGCGTGAGGTGTGTTGCACTTATTCATAATCCCTCATGTACAGACTCAATCAAACCGAGTTTGCAATTTTCATGTAATTTTGTTTCGATTTATGCTTCCGAGGGGTCACTTTGTTTCCAGATTTTCACCTATTTGAGAAAAATAGCAGCTTGTACAAATTTCAAAATCACATGTATTGATAAATTTATAAACCATTGTAACAACAAGAACTATATTTATATATTTTACATACAGATATGCTACATTACAAGTTAGTGACCGGTGAAATGTATGAAATAATTTATTTTCACCCATTCTTGCCAAGGTCTCAAACATTTAAAGATACATTTAAAGATTACACTTGTGTGTATTGCACTATAAACGTTTTATTGAGAGTAAATTTAAGTTGTTTCTCTTATTCCTTAAAATGTTTTATAGCCAATTTAAAGTATTTAAATTATAAACTGGAAACCAGTTATTGGATTTACTTTGAAGATAAACTTTTTGTAAACTATCAGTTAAAAATAAATCATTTTAAACATCAGTAACGGACATACCATGTATCATAATGGTAAAACATTTAACCCTATCATCAAATAAGATATAATGATATAAATGTGTGCTATTATATACACTTATACATTTAATTATTATAATGCTTAACAATACAAGGCACGCAGTCGTGAACTTAATTATAAAGGAAAATTTCACTAAAAGCTACAAAAAGTAATGTCAAATTTACTTTGTTGTTGTAAGCTGAGACCAAGTCCCTTTAAACCTGATAAATTGCAAGATTAGCGACATATTTACATGTAACATTTGTATAAAGTGTGCTAAAGTTGATAAGCAATTTATAGACAGCAGAGAGACGTTTCTTCTCGTTTGTATTCTCATATAGGTTTGAAATTTGAGCATGTTATATAGCTGCTGCAAGCTAACATGTAAACATAAATAAACTGCATGTAGATGATGTTATCACATCCAGATGAAGGAGTAAATGAGATTTGTTCGACATCTATAAACATTTTAATAGGGATTGGGTTTACACCATGACAAAACAGAAACTATAACTTTTTTAACCTTACTTTTTATCTTTTGACAGTCTTATGTTTATAACTGTATCATTTATTTATAAGGTCGATTATGTCAACAGCTCTGCAAGTAAGTCGATTACTCGACATGAAATAATGGATTGTATCTAAGTAAAGGAAAAAACATAATGCCATCGACAGCTAAGAAAGAATTGTTCCAGTAAGAATTCTTTTATTTTGCATTAGCAGAAATCAAATCTGCTGTTTTTCTCCCTAGAAAAAGAATCAATTTCCGACTTTGTTTAAATATGAAGTGTTGGCCCTGATGGTCGCAACAGAATATGCATATCTGTAATTTTCTGTTATACTTGAATATTTCATTAAACACACCAAACACTTACTAGCCGTTCACCTTAAATACAAACTAGCGGTTAAACTCAGTTATAAAATGACTGCAATGTATCTAAATGTTTTTTGTTGTTTTTTTTGTTGTTGTTTTTCAAATGCAGGAATAAGAAAATACTTACGGATGCGGAGTAGAATTTCTATGTACAGGAATATCCCTGGACTGTCGGCGGAAAATTTCCCTTGTAACCGACATCCGTCGGTTGTCCCGAGAAGCTGACGCCGACATGATGACTTTATTATAGATGTTTTTCTCTATTAAAAACCTTTTAAATGTTTACATAACTATTCAAAAATCCATTATTATCTTGAAGTAATATGTTTAACTCTTGCTGCGCACACACACAAATATTACGCACATGTGACAGGTTTCTCGTTTAAATAGTCCAGTGAATACGTAAACGTTTTGTAGTCAATTTTACGTTATGAATATTCAGAAGGTAACACTGTCATTGTTTTAAACTTTGATAAATTCACCACCGTTTACTACCAAGTCAACAAATACTTAAAGCATTTCTCCTTTTATCTAAGTGAAGAACTAAATTTTGAAAAAAGCTCCGCCAATTAAACTTTTTAACACAATTTAACGCTCATGTTGATCGAGTGAATGCTTTTAAAACCGCTTTCCTGTAATTTGAAAATGTAAAATGACATTACAAATTATTTCGATTGATACACAACTTAAAATTGCTACACTCAATTAGTGCGTGAAAACGAGTGTGTGAAACTTAAAGATCGTCAAAGTACAATTATTTTGAAAGGTATTTACAAGTGCACAAAAATACATAAACTTGTCCAATTACGCAGCTTGTTAGCTGAAAAAGCAAAATTTATTTTATATACTTCAAATATTTTTAAAGAAAACGGATCGACTGTGTATTCGTCTGATTGATATATAAACTTAATCCATTTAGATTGTACCAACTTTAGTCTTCAGTAGAATGTGTGTATTATATATTTGCAAAACGTATTATATGTCGTTGACATCAATAATGAAACATTCTCTCTCATGACATATACCGTTACTATTATTCGATTTTCCGCTGTCGCTGAGGTAACAATATCTATTGTTGAGGAAATGAAAATTATCAATTGTTCAGATAGGAATAATGAAGAATATACAGAATGTCCCTGCCGGCAAATAGCTTTGATGTTTTTTTAAGACCAGTTGTTACAATCTTGTAAATTTCCTTGAATAAAAAATGTGATGTTTCTTCAAGTAACTTCGTTAATTTCCTTCGGTCTCGTTTTTTCTTGTCGGCTTCATTATTTTCCGTCTGTTCACGTATCAGCATGATATCTTCGCCAGTAACTGAAATGCAATATCAAAACCACATTAATATTCAAAAGTTGTTCTTTTTGTGAGCAATTTACTTGAACGGCGTCTGTTTTACTTCACACTATATATTTATTACAAGTTCGTGAATGCTACCAACATGTACATTGTGCATATAATGTCAAAAGACTATAAGTAAACCTTTATGCTAAAACATTTTTTTTGCCTAATTTTATTTTAAATGGAATGGGTATAAATGAAATATTTATTTGTCAGCTGTAACAGAGCGATTTTCAATGTTTTGCAGTTTCACGTGTTATTATAGAACAATGGAAAACAAAGAGAATACGCAATAGATTATACATTCGACATAGAATTCTATAAGGTGGTGAAAACTACCAGGAGCAAGGAAAATGATCTTGCTGAATCTATTCGAACTTTTGACCGAAGGTTTGCCTGTAAACAACGATCGTCCAATGATATATATAAACAAACAAATCATTGTTTATATATAACTTCGCTCAGTGCATCATACATGATACAAACATGACGTGCATAATACAGAAATCATTTTTATACAACAGCAGTACAAAGGCAAACCATACTAGAGGACAATAATAATACATAATAATTAGGTAAACCATCTAATGTGTTAATTAAAATATTTTCAATAAAGAATACATGATCGTTCCAAATTAAAATGTAAACGACCATTATTTCATGTAATAAACGAGTTCATAAAATGTCGTCATTAACATGATCGGAAAACAAAAGTAGTACATCGATTTAATATTCAAATGTATTCACGATTTTGGTAATAAAATTGATATAAAAATGTTCATGTAAACATTGATTTGATTTTGACAATTAAACCTACTTTTTAAGTGTCTCTCGAAATTGATGAACAAATATTTGAGACGCCATGCACGTGTTTATGATATATAAAAATCTGGAAACAAAGTGATCCCTCGGAAGCATTAATCACAGCAAAATTACAAGAGAATTGCAGACCCGGTTTGATTGAGTCTGTACATGAGGGATAATGAATACGTGCAACATCCCTCACACCCCCTAGCACCGGCTTGAGCGGTACTCAATAAACCTATAAACGCTGATCACGATGCTGACATGACATTCTTACCAGTCATCAGCCTAGCAGTATACAACTAGTACACAAGTAGTACACAATGCAACAGCTAATATACATGTACAACTAGTTTACAACTAGTACACAACTAGCACACAATGCAACAACTTATATACAACTAGTATACAACTAGTAAACAAAAGTATACAACTAGTATATAGCTAGTATACAGCTAGTATACAACTATTAAACAACTTGAATACAACTAGTAAAGAACTAGTATAGAACTAGTATACAACTAGTACATAACTAGCACATACAAGTTTACATCTAGTATATATACAACTAGTATCTTTCGTCTCACAAACCATTCTACTTGAGTCTGACCAAATTGTAGACTGTTGGTCACGCCGTTTTACTATTTTGATATTTGAAATTCTTTATCAATACCATGCTAAAAATCTTAAATAGACTTGTCCATCTTATCCAACTTCCAAAATGGATAAATGTTAGAGAAAGCTTAACGATTCAAAGATCAGCATAAACATACTTATGCCAAGATCTTTTTGAATTTAAAACATCTTTAAACAATGATGAAAGATGTCAGCAAGTGATCTTAGTTTATGCCATTTCATTACAAGATATAACTGTACGACAGGGGAGGTAACCACAGTTTTCCTTTTCAATTACTCATTTACAAATCTCCTGTCCTGATTTGTCGTTCGTGGCGCAAACAAGAAAAAAAATCATCAAAACAAGTCTTATTGTTTAATAAATTATGTTTGTTTCCCTTATGATAACATTTTTGTTGGTATTATCGTCATTAATTAAGGACTCATGAACTTTTGTTGTGTACTTTAACCGGCTATATGGTAACGTCAACACATTTTGCACTACAAACTGCGATCGTTTATTTTCTTCAAGATAACCACAATCGAACAACTGAGAGATTTGGAATCAAAGTTAACAGTATCTCTGACATTAAATGATAAAGTGTGTTTACTGTACTGCGTATTGATCAAAGTGAACATATGATAAACATGGTAAATCTGGCTTATATAAATCGATCTTTTTGCACTAATGTGCAAGTCAAATATTAGATTTAAAAAATCATATAATAATGCAATGGTAGTTTTTTTTATAGGAAAGTTGAATTAGAACACGAGGCCAAATTGTTTATGTTTCATTCATTAAGTCGGGAAAAGATAAGCAGAAAGAAAAACAACAATAACGAGTAAGAACAAAAAAAAAGAGTAAATATATAAATAACCACGTAAGGTCACCAGTAAAGCATCCAGCTGGGCAACAAACTACAACAGAAGATCCACAGAGCCGAAGAAAGAGAAGAAAATATCAGTTACTTCTAATGATTAACAATTCAATTAGTAAACTGAAAGAAATTAAATGAAAACATCAATAAAATAATTTGTTTAATTAAAAGGGCTTAAATTTTCAGTGTAAATGGTAAAAGGGCCAATGGAATGAAGTGTTTGTGAAGGGGCACAGAGGGGGGTGGTCAAGGGATCTCTCAGGACATACAAGTATATACAAAAATGTCGTATTTAATGTTGACATTCACACAAATAATAACCAGTTAAAGAATCAAAGCTAGCACGTGCATTATACAAGTCCGGTAAAATTCAAAATAAAATAAATATTTGTCATTACTTTAATAATTTTTCACACCTACCATGCTGTGAAGTAGATTATCAGTTTCATGTTTTGTCTTCGTGGTGTATTTAAACACTGAACGTACAGTTTTCATAGATTATAAAGCTGCACTTCTAACGTTATCTCTTGGCATACATGATAAAAATCCCACTCTGGTTGTAGATATCCATGACATTTAACCAACAGAGTATTTATCGATTTCAAACGCTTTTTTTCATTTCTTGCTGTTTAACATATTAAAACCTGTACGAATGCGATATGTGTCACATGTAATTAACCATGGGTAAACTATTTGTGAATGCAAAAATGTATGACAGCGCCAATCTCTATTGTGAGTAATGTCATACCAGGAAACTAATATGCGCATTATTAGATATAGAATTTTGATAATGTCATTAATACATAACAGTAATATTTATAGACATTGACTGGTCAATACAGGTTCCAATACCAGAACGTGTGACAGTCTTTGTCAATTACCGGGCAACGACAGCAATACTAACACTCGAGCTCTTCTGAATCTGAAAGTAAGTTTCAAAAATTTGTATTAGTAATAATGATTGCTGACGAGATATATGGGGGACTATAGCCAGAATAAGATCTGTATGGCCCAAGTTGCTAGGTAAGGGTTACAATCAGAACATCTCGGTTATTATTATAATAAATACGTCTTATCCGAAGTTTGACGGAAAGGACCGAGAAGATGCGACTGGCGAAGATTATAGATCTTTTTCTAGTTATATATATGTTCTCCCGTCAACAAATCGGAATTCTTTGAAAATATTTTGTACAGAACTTGCTTATGATCATTGATGCGCAGTTTCGTCACGACTGGTCAAACGACCGAGGTGATGATGTTTTCTATTTTTAGCTCTAGCGACATTATTGCTGTAGTTGAGCAATTTTTGTAAAGGACTACATATCCATTTAAGCCATTTGTTTCCTCTGGTCATTGTCATAACGTATCAAGTGAATGAAGAGGAGATGTCGTTTAAGGTTTATATTTTTCTAATTGTAGCTTTGGTGGCCATCTTGTTCAGATTTTACAGTTTTATAGGGGACCACATGAGGACCATTCCTGTATAATTTCATCACTATTGGCCTAGCGATTAAGGAGCGTGGTATCCAAATAGTATAGTGAGCTCGCTAATGAGCTAAAGACGAATTGTAAATATTTCCATTTCCTTTTATTTGCTTTATATGATATTTAAAAGTTAACTTTTTAATTCGCTCATATTGTGCCTGTGCGTGTGTTTACGTTCTTTAATTAATACTCGGTTAGATGATTACTTTGTGAATATATTGATTTTCAGTGTTTACAAACTTGTACAAATAATCAATCATTTGATTGATGTGCATTATCAGGGTTCACGTAATGTTTTTCCTTGCAAATTATGTCAAATTGCGTCTTCGATTTAAGTTGTTTTTAAGAAACCGTCGAGGGCTTGCTTTAAGAAAAATTAAGTGTAGATGATTTTTCATAAAGCTTGTGACAGTTTCTTTTACACTAAACATGTGACAACAAAAATAATATTTGTCAGAAAAAATTGTAAATATCAAGTAATCAACATGTAATTAGAGCAAAATAATAAGAATAAGAATTGAAAATGCAAATGTTCGACAAGGTGGCATATTTCTAAATACAATTAAACGCTATTTTACAAGTTTAATACACTGGTACACACTGAAGACTTTTAGTAGCATTTATTTTTTCGGATCCGACAGATATCAAAATTAAATACTGCATTCCAGGAGCAACAATTAGTTCGCTTACATACGAAGGACCGGTGGGGACATTCCAACTTAACGAGTTCCCGATTCCGTTTTCGTTTAACTTCGTAAGTTCACGAAAAAACTTCACGAATTTACGATATTAACTCCGTGAATTTCACTTCATGAATTCATGTTTTGAACTTCACGATTTCAGCTTCACGAAGTCAAGATTTCATCTTCACGAATTCATGATTTTAACTTCATGAATTCACTATTTCAACTTCACGAATTTATGAAGTTGAAATCGTGAATTCAAGAAGCTGCAATCGTGAAGTTCAAAACGTGAATTCGCAAAATTGAATGAGTGAAGTTGAAATCGTAAATTCATAAAGTTGAAATCGTGAATTCGTGAAGTTAAAATCGTGATTTACAAATTAAACTTATTTTATGGTTAGTTTTTTAATACCAAATTTGAGACTATTTTACTCATATATGTATTCAGAATTTTGAAGTAACCAAGTGCACTTTTGCAACTGAGTATAGAATGTTATTTTTGAACCTACTT